TGCGCCCCCTCCACGGCGTGTATGAGCACCTACTGCTCAAACACACGCACATGGGGTAACACCAACACGTGCCCTTCCAGGGCATCCCTCAGCACTTCCTCCTCCATTCCCCTCTCCATGACTGCTACAGAGGCAGAGTTGAGCCAGAGAGACAAAAAAAAAAAAAAAAAAAATAAAAAAAATGGGGGGGGGGGGGGAGGGGACACGACAAAAAAACCCACAAAACCACAGAATTTTATCAAGAAAAAGAAAACCATGAGGTATCACCTTTCTCCTACAAAAGCAAATTACTTCAACTACAACCACATCTAGCACCTCCACCCTAAACCAGATTCCCAAAGTGATTCATCATAATCAACAGAAGAAACTGAGTTGCAACAGCAAAGAAAAGTGCCATACAAAAAGAGAGATCTCTAGACTCCACTAATATATTTTCGTGCCCACGCTAATCCTGGAAACACCCATAATCCTCTACTAAAGAGGAAATCAAGGGGGGCAGGGGGGGAAGGATATCTGCAAAATAAATACAGAAGGGGTCAGACAGACCCAGACCCATCACGTCAGAGTCAGCATGCTGTCAAGAACAGGGTCACACAGACTAGGCTCAGTTTCCCTGACTGGACACGGGGCATGCTACCGTATTTGAACTTGTTGCACGTGTATGCTGTAAGGCTCTTGTGCTCTGAGGATGTCACAGAACCCTCTTTCCTTAGCTCTCTGGCACACGGTCAGGACAGTCTGGCTGCTATTCCCTTTATGGAAATGAGATTTTTTTTTTATAGCTCAGCTATCCCAAATCCCCAGTGTTAATCTTGCTAATCCTCCCTAAACTGAACATTGCTCTTTTTTTACTATTTTAGCACCTAAAGAGGTTCTCATTCCTTATAACCAAAGGATAAAACATTTGCAATAAATGTTTCTGCAATCAGTGTTTTCTGAGCAAATATAATCTAAATCAGGAGATTGCTTAAAGATGCCAGAAAGATGGAAAGCAAGCTGTCACTCTACTGAAACGCATAGCATGTTTCTTCCCAATAGTTTCTTCTAACGCTCCAAACAGTCGGTCCTATTGCCTTATGCTGCCTTACAGCCACCCCTAGACATAGTTTGCTAAAAGACACAATAGTGATCAAGAGACACAGCTGAAACAGACACATGACAAATGTCTTCTAATTACCTTGAAAACAATCTAAAGAAAAAAACAAAAAGCCTTAAAGCAAATAAAAATTTTTTACATTACAAGAACTGGTCAGATGTGAATCAAGGGGGCTTTACTAATATCATTGCCATTTGGACACCCTACGCTACAACTTCTACCAGAGAGTTTCTCATTGTAACTTGTCTTGCAAAACTTCTGGTCCCACCCACCATTGGCAAAACGTTAATGGGAGGGAAGTTCCTCTTGTGGAAGCACTGGCAGGGTGTGGTAACTGCATGACATCTGTAGATGAGACACGGCCTGGGAAATAATAGCACGAGCTGCACAGATGCATTTGGAAAGACTGGGCAACACAATGCATGTGTATCGACACAGGTTATGAAGTCACACTTGTGTTCCCTTATAAGCGATCCTCGTTTGTTCTTCTCTTACTGTTTAGTAGGTTACTGTTCACAGAGGCAAATGCTACCTCAGACAACTGCTGGGACTGTATGATGAATATGCAGTCACCTGTTAGCTAAACTAAGGGAAGCCTCTTGGCCAGCTGTTCAGACAGAGCTCCCGGTGAC